AAACTCAAAATATCTGTATTAAAAAATACGAAGTAAATCTTAAACGCTTATTTCCGCGAAAAAATTCCAGAAAGGATTAAGCATGATTTAAATAATAAATGAAGGCGTTATCTTTGTTGTTGCGAAGCTAAGTTTATCTTAGATTGGTAACAAATCCGCTACTCATCTGTTTCAAATGTAAATTAGGCTTAGCGGCACTTAAACAATTTTAAAATTGTTGATAATTCTAAAACTATTGCATACAGATTTACTAAAGGCATAAAACCCTTAACCGGAAGATAAAAACCACATAATTCAATCGTTTTTAAAGCAAAAAATGTACAATTTACAAACATATAAGAGTCAAGAAACTGAGATCACTGAGCCGGGTTACAGAGTGGATATATTTATAAATATGTTTTATACGTTTAGCGAGCCGATTGAAACCAAAATACGAGGTGCACATCTACATGTTATAGTAGTCTTATATAAAAAATTTCAACATTCTGAGGCTACTCGTTTTTGAGTTATGCGAGGCACGTACGTACATACGTTCGTACAGACGCCACGAAAAATTCTCTTCAGAATTCCTTTTAAAGCAGCTTTTTAGTTTTTTTTTTTTTTTTTTTTTTGGAGAAAAGAGTCTTTTATTCTGTCCTTACGTACAGATATCACGCCAAAACGTCGTTAAATTGCATTCGAAAACGGTCAAAGTGGATATTTTCGTTGAAATATGCTGCCTGAAGCTTTTCGCGATTACAATACTTCCTTTTTACTTTGTACAAGGAAGTAAAAATATCTACAGAGAAGTGATTTCAAAATTTTACGTCGTAATATTAAATTGCGCCGTCACTTTGTCACTGCACGAGACATAATTTAATCAATTAATCTTTCACAGACTGACAACCAAATAATCATTTCTTAGAGCGTTGCCACTCGGCAAGGTAAAAGAGCTTAAATTTACTTTTCAAATTTATTCAGTCTATTAATTGCTTAAACTAAGCAGACTAAAAGCAATAAATGTGCTTTTTGAAAATTGCAATCCTTAAAAGGTGCCAGTTAATCAACAAATACGTTCCAAAAATCTTGAGGCTTAACTTAAGAATAAAATGTATACGTACTGAAACTCAAAATGAATTTAACTTGACAATAAAAAATAAAAACTATTTAAAAAACAAAATCTGGAATGTTTCTGATTTTAAATTAACTCGAAAAAGGTGTTTTTTTTTTTTTTTTTTTTTTTTTTTTTTTTTTTTTTTTGACATTTTGTGTGTTACTTTTATTTATTAAATATCATGTTCTTCTCACTTAAACCATAAAATTCAGTTCAAGAGAAATATCGCAAAATAATTTTAAAATGTGCATATCATTAGAATTTCCGATACACAGTCTCGCGCACTGAAGATAAAATGGTTTTTTTTTCTTTTCTGTACAACGTTGCCATTACTAGCTTTGAAATCCTTGAGTTTGTTAATCAGAAATTTATTAAAGTTTTAGAAAACATGAAATTGATAATAAAACAAATTCCAAAATTCAAATTTCTGCTTCCAGATACCCATATTCGCCGTAGGATTACGTTATTCAAAATTTGATGGCTTTAGGTACCGTTGTTTTATCACAATGTGAGAAACATACACACATACCTGCAGATTTTTCATTATTTAATTTCTTTAAATATAACACAGGGCGGTAATATTTGGCGGCAACAATCTGAAAAGTGAAACTACGCAAAATGCCAAAACGAAATTAATAGTCCTTCTAGGAAAGTAGTAATTTAAACAAATTTAAAACTAATAATTTAAAACAAATTTTCAGAATTATTTTTACTAACTTAAGATGCTTCACAAGCCATATTTACTAAGTACTCCGTAAAATGCCATTTTTTAACTATTTACACTCGCGTTTCTGTTCGTTGGTCAAGCATAAAAGCATTCTGCACCCTTCATTTCGCAAACACAAAAGCTCAGTCCAGATAAATATGCAAGTAACTAATGCCAAAAAAAGGTTAGGGATGACTATAACTAGTAAGCATCGACTATATGATATGATTCCTCCTGCATTTCACCGTTACCCTTCATCTGTTTCAAAAATAACCTAAATACTCTAATGTCGTCCGAACTAAAAGGTGGTGGAATATAGTTCGTCACCACTAGGAGTTGGCGATTAGATCCCCTAATCCCCATTCACCCTTTGAAAAGGGGAGTATATAAGGTATTTCTTCCTCCTTTCAGCCTACTATTTCGATGCAAAGGTAGCATACTCAGCGCGTATTCGAGAGGTCCAGATTTGATCCCCGGCGAGGACATTGTTCATTTTTCATGTCTATTGCTTAAAAAATAACCTCAATGACTCTAGAATAAACTGGTCGCTGGAACACAAGCTAGTGACCTCTGCAGCCAAACCCGGCGAAATGATATTAAGCCTAGGCAAGTGACATGTAAGAACTCCTGTCAAACTTTACGCTAACAAATAGTTAAAAAAATTGTCAGACAACGCAACTCAATTGAGGTAACCACATATCAGACACATTATATAGAACTAAACACCTTCGTAGGAGGTGTCATTGCGGATGCTCACGATCTGGCATCAGATGGTAGCAGAAAGTATCGCATTATATGGGGCCCTCTGTATGGGGAACACACATCTCATCTCAGATGTAGAATCATCCTAAATCTGCGTAAAGCACCTTCCCGTCGGGCGTTAGCTGAAGCTCTCGTACTGCTGCTACCAGTGCTCTGAACGTCCTTGAAAACACTCTACATTTAGTGGCTCGTGGCTCAGAGAGAATGCGCTGTCATGTGCACCCTCAAACTGAAAGCGAATTGTGAGCTCTGGAATAATAAATTTATTCATAGATATTAAGAAGAAATTATTCCTTTGCCACCATGCTACCCAGCTGAATTTGCTATTGTGCAGAATGGGCGCCATCTGCTACATTCACTTTAAAGGATATATGCATCGATGGATCCAAAGATGAGCATGAACAGGATATTGCGTCCTGAATGGTACAAATATACTAAGCACATGCGCCAGAAATCTCAACCACAGTACCTCTGTCTTTCAAGCGGGACTGGCTGTCTTGCGAATGCCACCTAGCTTTTGCATATCTGTAGTTTCCTATTTCAACATATAAACGAAATTTGCCTTAAGCCTGAAGGCAATTAATGGAAATCAATCCAGAAATGTCATCGTGAAACACATTAAAAAAACACTTTCGCTCTCGTTGCTCAGTAACATTAGAAGGAAGCAGTAATGGGTATCGGTCCCTACTGGAACCTTTGGCAATGTCATAGCTGAGCTGATGGCCAAATTAGCGGCATCAGACATTAATAATTAGCACTCTCGTTATAAAACTCCCAGCTTCTCATCTAAAATCTTCCACTTGTCAACTTATTTATAACAAACGTCACGTAGATTGTAACAGTGAAGGTACAGGAAGAAGAGTGTTCCAGTTCTTTCTAAAAGTTGATGCAGTTCTCAGAAGTGGCATAACAAAGCTCACGCATTTCTTTGCTCTGCGTGAAACATTTGTGAGCTACCTTAATCAGTTTGGTTTAATAGAAAGTGGTCTTTGCAAATGTTCCGGAATTCGTGACAGAGAACACCATTTATTTGATTGCCCATTTTCCTCCATCTATCATTTCCGAAAGGTAGCTGAATTTTGTCATGCATAGGCAGCAAACACTTTCAAAAACAAACTTGCATTATCCTACATACAAGCCTGTACTTCCCATAATCTCACTATAAGAAGGTAACAAGAGTTTTGGTAATCTGTCAATACCGCCAGCCGCACTGTAATGTTTTGAAACTACTTCTCACAGTTCAGTTGTTGCGTTATTTTCTTCCTTCACTTCACGTTCGTACGGGGTTCGTAGATATGGAGTGAATAACGACGACACTTGATGAAGTATCGAAACACACTTTATTTAGACAATATTGTCAGGACAGCTCCAAAACACTTTTAAAGTCATCGAAGATCTACTATAAACACGCTGACCCGATCAGCGACACAGTCTCCAGGTTATCAGGGGATCACGGTAGAGACAGCTTCCTGCAAAGCACCCGACTCTGCTTTCCGGAGTACAACTCCCGACTCTGCTTGGTCGTTCTCGGAACTCCACGTACTCTCGAGACTCTCCAAGCTACAACTCGCGATGCACTCGACGACACACTGAGCACAGCTCCTGACTCTCGGTTCAGTCGTTTCCGGAGCTCAACACGCTCTCTCGACGATGCACTAACCACGATGCTCTGCGAGACTCTTTCGGTACACTCGACGACTCACTCGGCACTCGCTGCCCGGCTGTCAACTCGCTCTATGAGAGACACACTCTCCCTGACTGCAGACCAGCATGGCTGCACTCGACGACACACAGAGCACAGCTCCTGAGTCTCGGTTCAGTCGTTTCCGGAGCTCAACACGCTCTCTCGACGATGCACTAACCGCGATGCTCTACGAGACACTTTCGGTGCACTCGACGACCCACTCGGCACTCGCTGCCCGGTTGTCAACTCGATCGACTCGCTCTATGAGAGACACACTCTTCCTGACTGCAAACCAGCATGGCTTATATAGCTTTCGGCTTGTGTTCGGGAACATTCTGGACTAAACCGGTAAGAATTCGTTCCAGAAGGTTCTCCAACCGTCCATGGTATATCGCCAATTTTGTCGCCAAATATCGCTAAATGGGCGATTTCTTTCCAAATGTGGCAACCCTGCCTTCTCTTGCCATTATATGGCAACCCTAAAACTGCTTTGCGGGGAAGCCATCCCACCGCGCCTGTACATTTCGTAACAATACTATAACACTGTAATAGCAGTATTCCCATCATGTGCTTTCCCTCCTGGTTTCGGCCCCTCTAATATTCCTTACTTTATATCGTCAAGTCCCGTAGAACATTATGAAGCCCTCTATATTCATCTACCAGTAAAGTTTGAATGCTACCTAATGATAGCAAGAATACTATTTATCACTAATTATTACATAACATAATGTTGAGCATGAATTCTATGTACTTACCCATAGTATCGTTGCCTCTCGTTCTATGAGATACTGTCTAGGAGGACAAGAATATTGTTTGAATCGCTTCTCCTCATTAACTGTTTTCGAGGCCACATAACTACAGAGAAAGGAGAAGAAAATAATACAACTCAACGTTTTGGTATGAGGGTTACATTTCATAGCATAACCTTTAATATTATCAAACTCCATTTACCTATTTGGATTTCAGATATCCAGAATTTCAACTATCCGGATGACCTGCTCTTCTTTTCAAGTCAAAGAAAATTAAAATCAAGCGAAGACTTATTATTTTTTAAACCTAGTTGAGCTCTAATTATCCGAGCATCAGATATCCGCAGCTGAAATTTTCCCAATAGCTCACTTTTCTTGTAAACGAATGTTTATACAACCTCATAAATCAGGTGATCAGAATTTCAGTTATCCGGATTTCTTATTCGTTTTTATTGATTCACGCAGCCTTGAACTGAATATTTTTAATATCATCTTAAATGCAGTCGAAGAGCAACTATCCGGACAGAAAACTCAATCTTTCAGATGCTTTATCTTTTTTATGTCAAGCAGAATTGAAATGCTAGATGATTGAGTATGTATTCCTTAACATTATTTTAATTAGAGTCTAGTTGTAATTATTAAACTCTCCTGTGTAAACTAAATAAAACTGAATGACGTTTTTCCGCAAAAATCATTTATTACTTACCCTAAATGATAAGTTTAAAAATTCTTAATATTAAGCATTATATTATTTTGAATAAATTAAAACATAATGTTTTAGTCTAATTTTGATTTTCCAAAAACAGTTATGCATTTTATTTTTTACATAGTTTTTAAAAGCAATTTCTATGTTTAAGTTCAATGTAGTAAAAGCAAAAACAAAACTGTTTTATATTTAGAACTTCCTTAAAAAAATATGTTTTCAGTTTTACTTTTATTATAATAGAAATTAATAGTGTATTTAAAAAAAGTACAAAATCATTCAGTTTTGTGAAAAAAGAACTCTTTTGCTTATGACTTGAATGAGATAAATTTAATTTGCGTTTGTTCGTTGAACAAAATGTAATAACTGTTTAGTCATTTTTGCAATAAAATAAGATGAGCAATGAAAATAAAAAACAATTAATTTTACAGAATTTCTAATGATTCTAATTCTAATTCTGGGTAATATAACATTCTTAATTGTATAAAAAAAGTAAGATTAAATCAAGAAGAGGTGGATTACCATACTGATTTTAAAAAAAAATTCATCCATCCTGCTTTTTTATAAAAGATGATCAAAAATAAAAATTGCAAATCATTCCACTGAATAACTCACTTTTTTAAAGCCAAGCCATTTTCAGCAATTTAGAATGACAGGCATAATAGTGATGGCACCGTTGTGCTAGTGGAGTCGCATAAAGGTGCTGGAAATTTATTTTGTCTGCCAGAGTTAATCGGGGTACAAACTGCTTGTTTCAAATGATAAACTACTAATTTACGAGTCAAATTTAGGCTTTCCTGTGCGTTTGCCATTTACGCCGCTGTCAGGTCGGACATAAGTAAAAACGATCTCATTTCAATAGCCAAAAATGCTCGACGGACTTAACGAAGCGGAATGGATGCTACTAAATTGAATACTTTCCAAATTTGGCCTCGAAAGACTTCACAATTTACTCTTTCTCAAGCTTCTCCGTACGCTAATTGTTTCCGAACACATAAAATTTCTTCACTTTGTTTATCTGTGAACCCTTTTCGGCACACTGCCTTTTAAAGTTGGAGTTTTGATTTTAAAAAAAAGTAGGCAGTCTAATTAGGCCTAGAGGAGTACACAAGTAAAATTTTGTGAAGATAGCACTTATCCTTTAATCCTGTGCGTGTGCCCAAACTGGGCACACTGATTGGATAGTGCTTCAAAAAAGAATGTTGAAACGAACATTGTTGTCAATGAACTGACCGATGAGATGCGGAGAAACAAAGAATACAGACTCTCCGTTGTCCTAGACGATCGGTGAGCCCGGTCTGGGCACACCTAGGGTTCGCCGTTTGATTTTATGCAAGATTTCAAGGTAAAAATTTAAAACTAATATAGAATAAGTAGATTAGCATACAGCCAAAAACATAACATAGAAATTTCTTTTCAAACAATTCCTTTTATACCCTAAAAAAATCTGGAAGATTTCTTTGAAAAATGAGGATCTTAAAAAGCTAAACATGGCTAAAATATATGGACTGGTTTGGGTTGAGCTGCCATCTACTATAAATAAAGAAGGTTCAGAGTAACCTATAAATCCTTTTTCATTCAATTTTCCTGTGTGTACAGAAGGAAATTTTTAGGTGTGTCCAGACCGGACACACTGTGCCGCAAAGGGTTAACGATCAGAGGCTAAACATGACATATTAAATAACAGCACTTCTTCGTTAGGTGCAACAAACTGCATTTTCTTCATTTCATCTTGAGGAGAAATTGTTGCAGCACAAAGAGTACAATATACTGCGCTCGGAAGCATAACATTAAATATAAAGCTCAAAGATGAATCTCAGATGATTTTTAGTCTTTAATGATTTGCAGATGAATGTTATTTGTAAATAGGAAGAAGTTTTCATGTAGAAAGTTAAATCCAAATTAGACTTTAAAGAAAGCACAGTAACAATAGAAATGGAGAAAGTAAATAAGGAGCCTGTATCCCCACCAAATCACACACCATTCATCTATACCAGAGATCGGCAACTTGCGGCTCTTTTGATGTAAAGTTGCAGCGCTCAAGTTCCAAGTTCCTCAAATAGTATTTACTGAAACGAAATAATATATACTCTAATATTGAAACGAAAATTTTAGTGGCTCTTTAAAAACTGGGAAATTTTGTAAATTGTAAACTTTGGCTCTTCCATTTCAATAGGTTGACGACCCCTGATCTATACTGGTTTTATTCTTCCTTTAGTGCTTTAACCCCAGCTTATCACTAAATAAGACTTCGAACTTTGCTATGACCTATAGGATTCTTCTTTTCCTTTTCTATGACATGCTCTAACTGTGGGACAATCCGCTTTGTTGATCAGAGCTTTACAGCTGTGATGAGCTTAAGTGGAGTCATCACCTTAAAATATGGAATCTTATTTTAAAAATTTTATTTCTATTTTCATTTTTAACCCAAATGGGTAATTTGCTCCAAAAGATTATTAAATTTGTTTTGGCATTTTGAGTCGTCATTTCTCGGCTTTTGCGTCTATCAAACGGAGTTTCACTTTTCAATTTGTTGCCACCCAGTATTAGAGCCCTGCATTATATTTAAAGAAATTAAAAATTGAAGAATCTGCATGAATTTATGCATGTTCCTCACATTGTGAAAAACCAACGGTACCGTCAAATTCTGAATAACTTAGTCCTCCACTTTTGAATTTGTTTTATTATCTATTTTATAAAGTGGTAATAAAAAAACCATCGCGCCTGTTACTGGAGATACTGGCCTCATGCGGCGGCATGGAAACGCACTGCGGATGAACACAAGAGTGCAGAGGGGGTGACACAGTTAGAGCGGAGGAGAAACAGACTGACAATAGAGGAGACTGATGTTATAACTTCGAGTGTAAACATACGCTCTTCAGAGATCCCTTTGTTACTGTTGCTGGAAATTCTGCGATTTTCTAGGTGGTCTCATTCAGCAGGTTTAAATAATATCATTATGATAATCTAAATCATTGTCGATCTTATTTTACGGATTATTGCTAATTGTTTTGGTATACAAAATACTAATTACTAATCTAATAATAAGTATGAGACTCGGACTTCATAAGTTCTTTCGTTATAAACAATTCGAAAGGTATGCCTAGAGCTATGTTGGAAATTTAAGAGATCAAAAACACTTACCATGTGGATTTCAAAAGCAAATCTCTGACTTCGGGAATCTCTGTAATGCCGGGCAATAATGGTGGTGAGTAGCAGGCCAGGATCTCATTTAAGGTCATGGAAGGAAACCGGACGCAGCTAATAACATCGGTGGCATGTTTCTCGCGCTCCAAGTAACGAACGCTCAACCATTTCAGTGCCGCCAGATAGACGATGACTTCACTGTTTAAGAGAAAAGAAGTATTAAGTTTAAGGCAAATATTACAAGGGCCGCTAGTAGATGCTACGCTACATTGTTATACCGTCAACCGAGTTAAGTTATAAAAAAATCAAAATTAAAAAATAAAAATAGCCGCCTCTTCCAAAATGCCCTCTTCCAACTAACCAAAATTTGGCCAATTAAAACAGCTGACATAAAAATGCTAAATCCATCACGCAGATAAGAAAGGACCTATGTAATCAATCCTAGACCTGCTTTCAATCACACAGCAGTCACAGATAAGATAGAATTTAGTCCAGCACTTCTGTAGTACAACAGGTATTTAAGGTATTGCTGAACTACATGGTTGCTCATCTCCGTTTTGAGAAAACTACCAGGGGCCCTAGGGACATGCCAACTAACACGCATAGTCCACAGATAATGAGACTGACTTGGCGTGACTTAGAGGTAACACACTCCTCTTATAGGATCTTACTCTCTTTCGCCGCATAAACTCTACTAGATCCTACCAAAGAACCTTGGCGACTTCTCGCACAGGCTCAAAATAATACCAGCACAGAAGAAGCGTGAAAATAAGCCTTTACTAGTCCCAACTATGAACAGAAGAGCTCATACTTCTTGCTTGACAATAACACCGACAACTTGCGGTTGACTTTAAGTTAAGGCTAATAAGGCTGACTCGACAACGTACTCGGCGTGATAATTTCACAAATGTCCAAAAAGGCGTATCAGCAACTCTGCATAACAGCAAGGACAGACGAGTAACGTGCGCTGGCTAGAGAAAACACGCTCTGAATAAACTCCAAGAGTCACCAGTTTAAATACTCACTTCACTTAATTTAAAATTAGCATCCTGGCGAGGAAATGGGAGAGGAAATTGAGGAGTTCAGGAAGGATAACAAAAATTTGAATATTCGGTTAATTGAACTATGGAAAACACTATACATTCTAAAGAAAGATCTTCGCGAAAACGTGAGCCCGAAACCGGTCTTTATTACAGCAAAGCACACGAGGGCTATTTGCCTAAGTGAAGGATTTCCATCCTGGAGGAGTTTGTAAGTGAAACTAGCTCGTATCCACGTTACACATGGGGAAAACACCGATACGGCTATCCTGTTTGCCAGAATTCCAACCCGGGTGGAACTATCAGTGTCCAATGACTTTACCACTCGGCCTCTGGTAGGCCTAAGAGGTTTGGAAACACTTGTCCTGAACTTCAACCTTGTCCTAAGCGATTATCATCTTTTCACAAAAAATAAAGGAATTTGATGTGTAAGGGGACTTTCTGACAGCAAAAGCAAATAGTAACTGCATTTCTGAATAGGTCAGTTATAGAAGTGTATTACAAGAGAAGTTAACTACTTCTGATTTGATGCGACAAGAACCTCGAGACTTTTATAAAAAGACTTGATAAACTAACTTCTTTTGTTCTTTTTAACTTCCTTGTACGAAGCATAAAGGAGGTATTGTAATCGTGAAAAATTTCGGGTATCATATTTCAGCGAAAATATTCATTTTGACGTTATCGAATGCAATTTAACGATGTTTTTGCGTGACATCTGTAAGTAAGGACAGAATAAAGGACTCTTTTTACCCAAAAAAAATTATAAAACTGATTTAAAATGAATTCTGATGAGATTTCTTTGTGGCGTCTATCTCGCATAACTCAAAAACGAGTAGCCTCAAAACGTTGAAATTTTGTTCATAAAACTGCTATAACATGTAGATGTGCACCTCCCATTTAGGTTACAATCTGCGGCAATGTATATATATCCACTCTGTCGCTCGGCTCAGTGAGCTCAGTTTCTTTATCCTTGTATGCTTGTAAATTGTGCACTTTTTGCTTTAAAAATGATTGAATTATGCTGTCCTGGTTAAGAATTTTATGCCTTTAGTTAACCTTCATGCAATAACTGTGGAATTATCAACACTTTAAAAGTTTTTTTAAGTGCGGTTAAGCCTAATTTTTGATTACCATGGCAGCCATGTTTGTTTACATTTCAAACTTAGCGGAATAATGGATTTGTTGCCAATCTAGAGAAACTAAGCTTCGCAACAACAAAGTAATGGCTTTATTATTATTGCGCATTAAATTATGCTTAATTCCTTCTGGAATTAACATTTGAGTTATTAGCTTGTTTTGGAGTAGAAACTGTAATTTTAATTGTAAGAACTGTTTTTTTTTTTTTTTTTTTTTTTTTTTTTTTTTTGTTTGTTTGGTTGTTTGTTGTTTTTTGTTTTAATTGTATTTGGTGTTTTATGATTTTCTACAGCTTTGAAATTTTAATGAAAATATTTTGAATTTTTATGTATTTTTGCCTTGCCGAGAAGTGAGAACTGAATCAATGTGTAGCGCATGCGCATTAGGTAAGCGACGCTGAGGCTGAGCCCTTTGGGAAAATCTGTTTCTTTTTTATATTTGTTTAATTTCTTTTATACATTGTTTTAGTTTTATTATAGTGTTTTAATAGAACTTGTGGTAATTCATCAGAATTCTTCAAATGATTTGTATTGTGCACTCTGAGTTATAAAATGAATGTTAATGCTGTTAAGTGAAACGTAGCGCCGAAGTGTCGCTATAGTAAATAAATATAGTGAATTTGAGAACTAGAAGAGTGCATTTATTCTACTGTGTTTTATGCGCTCGAGGAAGTAGATTTAATTTAAAATTCGTTTACTGTTAATTCAATATGTTTAAATGAAATGCAGGAAAATTGCGTATAATTTAATATTCGTACAAGGAAGTCAGATTTTTTTTTGGCACACGTTCGCGCCAATTACAAAATTATAGAATGTTCTGTTTTATAATTATATTACCAGTGTTTATGTGAATAAGAGGATATATAGATAGATAGATCATAGAAAACTGTGAAATACTCAGTATAAATAATCAGTGCTATTTGCTAGTAATAAATACTGCTATTTGCTAGTAATAATAATTTGACAAGCAAGGATGATAATATCCCTAAAAATAATTCAAGGAGGAAAACTAGTCAGATTAAGAACTGTTCTGTTTATAGAACTGCACCAGTTAAATTTCAAATCACTGACTGACAAAGAAAATGTTTTTTGGATATGAAAATTCTCCATAATGCCTCCATAACATTAACTAGCTTACGAAAATTTTTGCATGATTTTTCAGAAGTAAAATTTAATTTTAGGTTTGCAGAATAACAATATTGTGTAATAGATAGTTTATTTGCTTGCTTGCTAACCATTGTTTTCCTTCAGTTTCAGTTGGTGTGTCATTTACCGCTATACAGAATATTTCAAAATGATTTCATGACTAAATAATTATTGAACAGTTGCTTATATAGCCTTGCTTCCGGATTAAGAAATCAAATAAGTTAGGCCTTCAGATTGAGCTAAGTTTGGTCATTTGAATAATTTTTAGTAAAAAATACCTACAATTTCACTGTTTTCAGAACAGATTCTGATTAACAAAGTTCTTCCCTTAAAGTTCCTTTTAGGAAAGAATATGGTATCCAAAATTGTCATTCAGAGAAAGTTGTTTAAATTAACTAAATTTAAAACATTTTTATTTTATGAACAAAAAAATGTGCGAGACGTATCGAATTTTATAAATCGTATGGAAATAGCTAAATTTCGTTAAACATAAAATTTAGAGTTCCTTATTTCTTCAGATGGTGATTTGAAATGAATGCTGCTTAATTTATGGCATTCTAATGTAAAATTTCTCTTTTCGAAATCTGCATTTGGAAATTAAATATAGTGAGCCACTTTCAATAGTATTTGCAATGTCCACTTACGACAACATCAAGCTCTGGGCTTACGCCGTTTTCACGGGTCCCTCTCTGTTCGCTTTTTGCAATCCAGTGCTTGTTTCGTGAGAAAAAAAAAGAACAAAGTTATGAGGGTTTAATTGGAGTTATTTTTAATAATATTTGCAACATAACGAGTAAAATTTGCAACATTACTGTGATCAATAGAAAATGTTTTTAATTGGACAGATTTTTGCTTCTTTTTTTTAATTATCCTTGTTTAAAAATTTTCCCATTCATATTTTTTCCATGTTGCTAAACCTAAATCAATCAATCATATAGCCTACAATTGGTAAATTTCCTTTGGAGTTATCATGGATACATGTCAAGCCATGTAAGTGGTGTACTCAAACAATAAGCAGAAATTAAGCAAATGGCCTAACTTAGACTATACAGATTTCAAAGCAAGTTATCGACAGAAAAAGAATAAAAATAGTGCAACTAAATAATATTTAGAAAATTTTCATTTTGTCTGGAATTCGAAGCACCGAACTAAAAATGAATTAGAGGCAAAATAAAGTGTGAAATTAAATTTAAGTTATTAGGAAATTAACATATCTGTCAGAAATGAACACAAAAGGTTAATCAATTTCACGGGTGATGGAAAAATATTCAGTTTCATTTATCAAAAATTCCAAATATCGAAGTCTGGGAGGATTGAAATTCTGCATTATTTAATCACTCGTTATAACAGATATCATGGAAAACGACCTTACCTTCTGGTAGCCAGTATGTCTGCACTCAAGTACTCGATAACTTGGTCGCAAGAGAGATCCAAAAATTCGATGGTTCCCACAATGTGTTCGAATCGTTCTGTCATTGTCTTCAGAGCCCTCTTTGCAGCATCGTCCAAACACAGTTTTCGAGCAGTCACGTAGATGTAGACTGGATAAACTTCACGTTTAGTTTTGCCAGTCAGAATCTATTAAATGGGGGAAAAAATTTTGAATCTGATCAAATTTGTTACAGAATTATATACGCTAAATATTCTTAATATTCAAAAACGATCCTGTGTATCATAACTGATTTGAGGCTGTATTCATTGATGTTAGATGATGAATTTTGTACTCCGAGAAACATTGCTTGTCTGGTGTGTATAAACAGTGAATGAGATCAAAACTGTTTGCATTTATTTTTATCCGGCTAAAGGTCTTATTCTGTGAAGATCGGTTGATTGGAAATCTGCTACGAGTATAACAGTAATGAATTTTCTTATACTCAGTAAGGAATTCGGTACATACTTCCGTACAGAGATGTTGTGCTCCTTCTATTCCGAGCTTCCTAGATGCTGTGTACACTTCTCCAATATTCTGGCATGTCAAGTTCAAATTAGCAGTGTACATGTACTGCAAAAGAACGGAAAAGGCTTCGTTGGTGACAGATTCAAGTTCCAACTGTAATGAAGAAAATCATATTTCAGAGGAAATCATGCCGAAAAATTTAATTTTTATCGCTAAATAAAGTAGAGAATGCAATACTATAAAACAAGCAAATAAAATGTTTCTTCATGTGCAATGTAAAATGCAAAATACTGTAACAAACTCTCTATACATGTAAGTAACGTTAGTGAAATTATATGCAGATTTGTAGTATTTCTTGTATAATGCAACATGAAGGCCTCAAAAGTGTGAAGCATTGCCGAAAAAATAAGATTACAGGGAATGATATATGATATGAGGGACCAGCCCGGCCCTCCTGGCAGACTTTACGTCGCCCTATGGTCTTTTAAGATTACAGGGGTAAGTACATTTAACTTTGAGATGAATAGAGAGATAAAGTCAGGCTGATAACGCTAAATTGGCGAATCAAGATGGTCATGCTTTTAACGACTTACTTTTGTCGCCATAATTGGCAAAAAGTCAGCATAAGTAGCCAACATGGCAACCAAAAGTAGCCAACATTGGTGCCAGTTTGGTCCTATATGTACGTAACTGTAACTAGTCATATCTCTATATAAGAAGCAACTGTATTCGGCCCTAACTGTAATTGTATAGCCTTCCAGCAGTTTTGAGAAATCGAATGTAATGGAAGATCCTTGGTGGAAGCGGAAAAACAATATAAAATCGGAGACTGCATCAGTTTAGTCTGGCTCAGTGTTGTGTTCAGAGTTTAGCTCAAAGTATTGAAAGAATTGAGATATCATTGCATTTGAGGCTTTTTTTAGGGTTAGTTTGCATTGAGGTCTTGTGTTTAGTGTTCTAAGTAGTTTGAAATGGTAACTGCTGATTGTCCTCTGTCATACTAAGAAGCACTTTACTTTGTGCATGCAATCTATTGCGAACCTGTACGCAAGTAACAAATTTTCCCGTCAGAAGTGGAGGACAATGACATTAGGACAATAACAATAGAGAAGCAACAAGACATCTAGTCACAGCATTGCTGCATTTCAAGAAAGATGGAAGGAGCATCAAGTAGGTTAAAGAAGAGGTGAAGAAGTAGAGATTAAAGAATACCAAGAAAAGATGGAAGGGGCCGTCAAATCACATCAAGAAAGGACTGAAGGGAATCAAGAGGAAATACAAAGAGATATTACAGCTTTAATAGAAACTAAATTCGAGGGTATGGAATCAGAATAGATGCAGTTAAAAATAAAGCTAAAGAAACTGAAGAAAGTGTTTCTGCTGTCGAACAACAAATCGAAGAAAGAGGTTCTGCTGCCGAACAACAATTCCATGGCTGATTTTTCTGCTACTGTTGCTAAAACTGTGCAAAGTCCTGTCGTCCCGGCCTTTTTCCGCGTACGATGGGAAGGCCACGTGGCAGGAATACAAGATTAAGTTCTCTGTAATGGCAAACGCAAATGTATGGGATTAAGAAACTAAAGTCAACCACTTCGCCGCTTCTCTGAGAGCAGAAGCTACAGATGTCCTTTAAACTCTGCATGGAAAACAAATGCTAGACTTAAAAGATCTATCCGGCCCAATGAAAGTTCGCTTTAGTGAGACGTGTTTAAAGAGTATAGCAGGCTTAAGTTGAAATTTCGCCAATAGAAGCTCACGGAAACACTTGCTCAAATATTGGAAAGCTGTCACATCTCGCGTTTTGGAGTGTGATATTAAATTCGAGGCATCCCTTAAGTAACTCTTAGGGACCACCACTCAAGGAAGGCTGCTTAAGTCCAAGAGGTAGTGGATCAACTGACTGCTCGTCTAGACGATTTAACCAGGCAACTGAATCCTTAAATATGAATTTCAGCAACCCAATCCTAAATCGATGGAACTGCAGTGGGGAAGGTCACATATGACAGAACACCCGAAAGCAGGGAAAGGAATTAAATCCGCCCACCAAATAATTGCTCAAGATGATGTCCCAGTACCAGCAAAAAATATTTTACTACCTGGATACATAGCTGAAAATAGAAATTTTTGGTATGACATAATAGGATATCCTCTAAACTGTAACAGCCCAAAATGGCTACTAGCAGCTTTGGCACTCGTCGGCCTGTCAAACATTTTCATTCCTCTGAGAGTTGACAACGTAAATAATAAGGTGAAAGTCTTTAGGAAAGGCGAAGTGGTCGCAGCATGTACCTTAGTGACCTGCGTTAAACGAACTAGTAATCCTCCCTTCTCTGTGTCTTCGCAGAAGCTAACATTGGAGTTGCTGCTGAATGCACAACTAAGCGATGAAGACAAGAATGCTGCAGAATGTGTCATTCAAGAATTTCAAGATGTTTTCTTTCGCATATCTTCTGGTGTAGATCACAGCGGTTTCACACAGCATTAAATTGATACGCTGGATAATTCACCAGTCCAGCCACATCCAAGACGTCTGCTGATTGGCAAACATGAAGAGGTAGGAAAACGTCTAAAGGACTTACAAAAAAGCGACATTATCGAGCCTTCAGCAAGTCCTTGATCGTCTCTCAAAAATTAGAGACAGAATACAGTCTCTAAAAACACTACTTTCGCAGATGTCTGCGTCTTAAAATGAATGAAATCTGCACCTAATGATATATGAATCCTGCTCTACTTGCCATACCATTCCGCGGAATGTTTCTTTCGAAACGACTTCCACGAACGTACTCCTCTTTTGGCCTGCTTAGCCAAATTAAATAACTAACTAATAAACTCAGTGATGCTAGGAGGAAAATAACAAAGAGGGAAAAACTTCTGAAGTGCAAACAAAACAATTCAGAATAATAATTATTTCTTCATTTATTATTACAATTTTTGGAGTTAATTTTACGACGAAAACTTTTAGTAATTTACTGTTGAGACGAAAATCCTTGAGGGCTGTAATGTACAAATGTAAATAATTAGAAGAAGAATTAAAAGATACTTCCACCTATAATATTTCCGACTATAAGATATTTCCATCTATCTAAGAGAAAAAAATATTTAACGGTCTAACGATTTTTGACTTCAGTATAGTATTTCTTCTAATCTATTTTCTTAAAACGAATATATAATTTCATAATTACGATTTGAAAAACATGTGGTTCTCCTTTATTTGGTTGAATGTGTGTGTGTGTGATTATGGCAAAGCCTCGAGGGCTATCTGCCTAAGAGGAGGGATGCCTTTGTGGAGGACTTTCTAAGGCAAACTGACTCGTATACACGTTACATATGGGGAAAAACACGAAAACACCCATGCAGCCAGCCCGTTCGCGGGATACGAACCTCGGACCGAACTACCAGTGTTCAGTGACTTTACCGCTCGGCCGCTGGTGGGCCCCTTTGGTTGAATGTAAAATGAAAGAAATGTTCTTGTTTATAATAGGAAAACATCAAAATATTTAAACTGTCATAAAATATTACTGTTTAAATAAATTTGGAAAAAATGTTACTTTATCATCGACAAGGTAAAATTTCAAATTTGTAAATAAAACAGGCTTAGGTTAGCCCAGATTTTGAATAATAATAGCTAATAGATAATTGATTTCGAGATCGATTAAATATATCCTCCTCTTCTTCAGATGCAAAACTTTTGCTTCCTGAAAACGAAGGATCTATCTTGAAGAAGATGAATATATGCTGAAGAATCTTCTTATCCTGAAGCAATATCTATCCTATACCGAAGAAGGGAGATCTATAATCAACCTCGAAATCAATAGTTTTATTCAGTATCCCACCCAATTTAAATCTGCATTTTCGATTAATTTAAGTATTAAATATATATTTTATTTGCCACACTTTGGTGTAATATAACTTTTGTAGCAAGCTGTTTTTAAGAAGTACAGGTAATATCATTTTCTATGTGATTTACTTTGTTATACTGAAGAGCAACACTGTTACAGTGTCGAAAATAAAGATGTTCTGCATCATGGATGGGAAATAACGTGTTTTTTGTTCTTGACCTTCAGCTTTAATGAGCAAAGATCATACCTCTAACTGAAAACGGTAATATTTTTACAAGTGTTAATACAAAGAAGAAACTGTTTCTGAAAACAGTTTTATTCGTTATTTATTTTTCTGTTATACAAGCAAAACCTTCAAATACATTACTTACTACACACAAGAGTGTCACGTTTGTCTAACATAAGTATTATTTCTTCATTGTAAAGCTAATTGTACCTAAATAATCCTTTGAGACACACTTCTCAGATTTTCTAAAAGAAGTATAATCTACAGCCTCCATTTTTCCATTAATGTCTAATGTACTTTCGCTCCGTGGAAAAATGAAGGCTTTCCAAAGTAAGAAAGGCTAAAGCTCAAAAACGCAAATTTTCACCAATAGATGACATTCCGAAGAAAATTATAGCGTTTATCCTCTGATACTTTTATTATTATTGCTAATACTTTTTTCTAATCTGGATAAATGTTATTTCGCTCAATAAGAAGTCCTTCTCTTCTGACATCGAATTGCATTCCAGCAACGCCCTTGGCTTTTCGCCAACGACAAAAGATAATGGAATTTCTTTCCGAAAAAATGGCAACATGAAAGAAAAGAATTTCGGCCTTAAGCGTGTTACAGTAATCTCATTCGAGGGACTTAAAATCAAATTTCGCATGAAGTCATATTCCTCCCTCTTTTAAGGTGAGACGATTGCGCATGCGTGCATTAAATAAAAGCGATGATTTTTATGTCTTCGAACAGATTTTCGAAGATAAAAAAAAATAGTTTTTGCTTGATGAACCTCTTCAACACTACATTTAATTTTTTTATGTGTGTATTTAAGTACAATAAGAAGTCTTCGAAATCCTATTTACTTAATTGATTTCAAAAACAGTTTTGACAGGTTTTTAAGCTCGAGATTTTTTAAGGTAAAAAAATGCAGCATACAGCTCCAAAACATCTGTACTATTTTTCATCTATTCGTGCAAAAAGAAGTTAAGTTCCCTATTAATTTTTTTTTTTTTTTTTTTTTTTGTTCTTGAAATTATATAAAAATATGATGCATTTAAAGTACGCATCTTTTAAGATTATATTAAATTAATTTAAATAAACACAC